CCGCTTTTACGGGGGGGGGGAGAGCCCCGTGGCTCTCCGCCGCCCCGCAGGAGCGGCCCTACTCCGGCCCCACTCAGGTCGGGCGCCACGTCTCCCCATGTCCATGTCTCCCCATGTCCATGTCTCCCCATGTCTCCCCTTATCCCCATGTCCTTATCCCCATGTCCTTATCCCCGTGTCTCCCATCAGGTCGGTCGCCTCGTCGAAGGGCATCGACAGCGCGAGCGCGGAGAGACCGCCCAGCTTCGCCTCCTCCATCATCATCGCGGCGAACTGCATGGGCTGCTTCCCCTTGTTGCACGCCTAACTCATTGCCCACTCATGGTTAACCCGTCACTGCTCGCGCACACGGGCTGCCTCCCCTCGTGGCATGCCACGACCCACGAGGGGACCTTGATCTCGTCGCAGCCCGAGATGGCCGCCCGCACCGCCTCGCTCACCGCGCCGCTGTCCGCGTCGAAGTGGCCCCGCAGCAGCTCGAGCACTCGCTCCTTCCAGCGCGGGAACTTGCGCGCGACGTACAGGCGCGCCTGGTTTGGCTTTGGCGCCGCCGCGCCGCCGTCGGCCGGCTTGCCGCCCTTGCCCTTGGCCTTGGCCGCCTTCTTCTCGTGGTTGGCCATGGCGGTGGCGATGACGCTCGACACCTGGACGCAGGGGCAGCACAACATCACAAGTCGACTCAGAAGAGGAGTGTTGTTTACCGTGTCGCCGACACACCTTGAAGAAGTACGCGCCATCTCGGCGATATCTCGGCGATATCTCGGCTATCCGCACACCTTGAAGAGGTACGCGCCGGCCGCGGACACGCCCGCGTCGATCGGCGCCGTCGGGGTCGGCCACGCCGCGCGGACGGCGCAGCCCTCCCTGCCGAGCACGGCCGACCAGACCTCCTCGGACCTATTCAGTAGTGGTTGGCCAGTCGTGACGGGGGTGGGTCTAGAGTCATTCCGGCCAGGCCTCCTTGCGGACCAGTGCGGCGTGATCGGCACCATCAGCAGAGCCTGCCACTCGACCCACCTGGCGTGCAAGAGACCACCCTCACGCTGCTCAGACTACTCTGTCCGCAGGCGCCCGCCGCTCGACCCACCGCCGCGTCAGCTCGGCGTCTTCTCTCGGCTCCTCTCGGCTCCTCTCGGCTCCTCTCGGCTCCTCTCGACCCACCGCCTCTTCTCTCGGCTCCTCTCGGCTACTCTCGACCCACCGCCGCGTCAGCTCGGCGTCGAGGCCCGACTCGACGCAGCCGGAGCGGTAGCGGTCGCGAGCCTCCTGCATCCCGTACCACGCATGCTTGAGCGCGTCGCGGAACCGCATGCTCGCGAAGCCCTCCGTCACGGCGAGCACGAGCCTGTTCACAGCTAGAGCTGTGAAGAGGTGCTGCTCGCACCCACACCTCCGTCACGGCGAGCACGAGCCGGTTCATCTCGTTTGCGAACCACGCGTCGAGCCACGTGGCGGCGGCGCCCGCCGGCCGCATCGACGCGTCCTTGGCGCTGCCCGCGAGCGCGGCGCGCGCCCACTCGAGCTCAGCGGTGAGCGAGAGGATGGAGCGGTCGGCGATGGTCGTGTCGAAGTTCGCGTTGAGGATCCCGTCGCCCGCGTCGGCGCACGCAAAGCGGGTCGCGTCGGCGCACCACTTCTCGCACGCCTGCAGCAGGCCGATGAAGTTGCCCTTGGACTTGGACATCTTTTCAGCGTCGACCTGCACGTGGCCGTTGCAAAAGATCGAGCGCGGGTACTTAGCGGGGTCGTCCTGCCAGACGGCCGCGTGGTTGTAGAGGCTCATCGTGAGGTGGTTCGGGATCAGGTCCTTGCCAGACACGCGCATGTCCACCGGGTACCAAAACTCGAACTCGCGTCGCATGCTCGCGAGCGGTGCGGCCGGGACCGGCGCCTCGCCCGCCGCCGGCTCGTACGGCTTCCCGAGCAGCACGTGGTCCCAAAAGCCTACGGGGGTGGCTCCGTGGAGGCTCCGAGGAGCTGGGGCTGCAGCCCGCGGCACGGCGAGAGGGCGTCGCAAGCGCCCTCGCTACACTGCTCGGGCGCGACGGGCGCCTGTTGGCAGGTGACCCTCCAGAGTGAGTCTTGAGAGGCACCCGGTCCGCGCACTGCCTCGGGGCGGCGGGCGCCGTTGCGCGGTCGGTGCCAAACATCGAGCTGCCCTGCAGCAGGTGCGCGACGGTGTAGTAGGCCATGTAGATGGTTGAGTCCGAGAGCGACTCGATCAGGAACTGCGTGTCCCACGGCATGCGCGTGCCTAGCACGGTCCCACAGCTGTGGCGATGGAGTGCGCTCCTCCTCCTCCTCCTCCTCCTGCTGCGCGCTGCAGGCGCGCGCCTAGCCCGAACGAGCGAGAGCACGCCCAGTCGCCGAGCCAGCCGAGCGCGTCGCGGAACGCCTGACAGTGATGCCGGGGCGTCACACAGTGTGATACGAGTACAGGTTGCACCCGATCATGCTGAGACCACGGGCTCGGCACTATTCTCGCAGTGGGCTGTGAGCCTTGTGGACGGCCGGATTGTAGCACTCGAGGCCGCCGAGGTGCTCGCCCACGCGCGCCGCCCACTCCTCCTCGCCGTACTTGAGGTACCACTGGTCCACCAGCGCAACCACGCACTCGACGTCCGGCGTCGAGCGAGGCGTGACCAGCCCCTCGGGCTCGAGGTAGGTGATCGCCTCGCCGTCGGCGACCATCTTTGCCTTTGTCTTGAGCTTTGCCTCCTGGACCGGGAGGCCGGCAAAGGGGCCCGCCGTCATGACGCCCTTGTAAAAGCCGGCGGTGTAGCAAGCGTCGTGCGCCTCCTTGAGCTTCTCAACCTCCTTCTGCGACGTGATGCCGAGCTTGTCGCACATGAACTTCGCGGCAACCTCGCCCAGCTCGGGCGTCTGGAGCACCGGCACCACCTACACCTCGGCTCGATCTCGGCTCGATCTCGGCTCGATCTCGGCTGATCTCCAGCCGCCTCTCGGGGGGGGAGGGAGGGGAGGGAGACCACCTCGAAAGGGTCGATCCACTCGGCGCGCAGCTCCGCGCCCGCCTGCCCGGAGTAGTACTCGCGCTTCTTGGCGTTCTTCATGTCCATGAAGGCGGCGTAGTCGTCCGGCGAGTCGGAGGGCACCTGAGTCGACCACCAAGCCCACCCGTTAGGTCGAGAGGGAAGCGGCTCGTCCGGCGGGTCGGAGAGGGCACCGAGGTGACGATGGCGGTGCCCTTGGTCATCGAGATCGTGAGGAGGGGGAGGAAGTGGATCCGCTCGTACGGGCAGAGCGGCGCCTAGTCTGACTCAGTGGCCAGCACTCACAAGAGGGAGGCGACCAGCCCCGTGCGGACAGAGCGACCGGCCTTGACGGCGGCGCCGAGCAGCTCGCGGCCGAAGAAGGTGGCGAGCTGCTTCGGCCTGCCCCACTCCGGGAAGAGGTCTTGGAATGCCATGTTGCGCGCCGCGCGCGCCGCGCAGAGGTAGACGACGCCCTCCCCCGCCTACACGCGCTGAATACGCCAGCCTCGGGGCGGGAAGACGGCGGTGTGCGGCGTATTCAGAGCACCGCGTGAAGACAACGGACACGAACACAGGGAATACAGCTGAATATAGGCTGAAGACAGCTGAGTACGTGCCCTCTCGAGCGCTGGTGGGAGCACAAGAATGCGTCTTCCGCTTCTAGGCTGCCGCGCCTCGAAGGCGCCGTACTCCCCCTCGGGCAGGATCCACGCGTTGGTCTGGCCGCACATCGTCTCTGGCCGGAGCGTGCCTGTTGCCGCAGCGGTTGCCGAGACGGGTCAGCGGTGTGCCGCGGCTGTCTGGCGGGGAGCGAGGGCGGAGGGGAGGAGGGGAGGAGGGGAGGAGGGGAGGAGGAGAAGGAGGGGAGGAGGGGCGGAGGGGACGGAGGGGCGGAGGGGCAGGAGGAGAAGGAGGGGGAGGAGGGGCGGAGGGGAGGAGGGGAGGAGGGGAGTGCTACGGCGAGGGTGGGTCTCCAGCGGCGCCTGCGAGGGCGTAGACCTGCGAGCCCGCGAACTTTGCGAGGACGGGGGGGAGGGGCTCGAGGAGGCGCATCTTGATGGCCGTGTACTCCTGCGGCGCGACCCCCTCCCCCTTGTCGCGGTCGTGGTCCATGCACGGCTGCGCGTCCGCCTCGGAGAAGATGGAGGGACGCTTGCCGAACGCGACAAAGCCGCCGGCGCGAAGCTTTGCAAACTGCCAGCGGACGAAGGAGTCGTAGTACGGGTTGTAGTCGGTGGTGATGAAGGAGCGGCGCCAGTCCACCCCCACGCCGAAGCGGATCAGGTCCGTCTTGCCCAGCGGCGGAAAGTACTCGAGCCAGTAGACAGGGTCCACAAAGGGGACTGCGGTGGCAGTGGGTGCGGTGGCAGTGGGTGCGGCGGCAGTGGTTGCGGTGGCGTGGTTGCAGCGGCGTCGGGGTGTAGTGGCGTGGAGTGGGGTGGAGTGGCGTGGAGTGGTGCGCTGTGCTGCGCTTTGCTGTGGTGCGCTGCGGTGCGCTGTGCTGTGCTTTGCGTGCGTTGCGCTGCGCCTATCTCTGCTGCGCCTATCTCTGCTGCACCTATCTCTGCAGGGCTTAGCCCCATGGCGCGGAGGATGTCCCACTGGTGCATCAGGCCGCCCGTCTTTGCGACCACCTTCTGCGGCTTCCCCTTCGGCTTCCCGCCCCCGCCGCCCTTGCTCTCCTTCTCCGCCTTTCCGCCCGCCGCCATCAGCTTGAGGTCCTTCTTTCCGTCGGGCGACTTTGCGAGCGGGCGCGAGTCGGCGCCGGCGGCGCCGCCCTCGAGGAGCGTGCGCACCTTGAAGGCGTACTGCGACCCCACCACCAGCCCGTCGACCCTCGCCACGCACTGCCCCTCCTCCGCCGCGGACGCGGGCAGCCTCGCGCGCTCCTGCCACTCGCCGCCCGCCGGGCCCTCGCGTACCAACACGAGGTACTCGACGAGCGCGAGGCCGCCGGTGCAGGTCGGAGCGCGCCAGCCGATGGTGATGGCGCCGCCGGCCGCGTCGACGCCCCCCTCCACCACCTCGGGCGGCGACGTGGGGAAGTTCGGCAGCGGCGAGCCGTAGAGCGCGAACTCGTTCTTGAGCTTGTGCGCCGCCGCCTGGATCGGCATGCCCGTGCAGTGGAAGGCGAACGGGAAGAGCGCCTTCTCGCCGCGCATGCGGTGGAACGCCACCGAGAACTCCGCCTTGGTCAGCGAGAAGGCGTGGCCGAGGTGCAGCCGGCCATTCATGTATGGGTACGGAAAGGTGACGAGGTACTTGCCGCCGTCCCAAGTGCCCTCGGCGGGCGCGTCCTCCTCGAAGGCCTTTGTTTCTTCCCACTTGGCCTGCGCGCGAGCCTCGATGTCGTGAAGCAGGTCGCGCCGAACGGTGCTGCGCGGAGCGGCCATCTCGTCGTCGCCTGCGACAGCGCGTGTGTCGAGGACGAGGTCGAAGGGTGCCGACTTTTTTTTGCTTGGGGGCCCGCTGCACAAATCCCACTCCTAGCCCGACCGCGAAGCAGGAAGAAAATCGAAATCCGGCGTTCATTGTAGCTGGGAAGAGGACCGCCGCAAGCGGCGTGGCGTGGAGCGGTTGTGCATCCCTCCGGGGGCCCCTCTGCGCCGGGGAGGCGTTGTTGGAGGCTAGGACGCAAGCGTCCGTCGCCCTTTTCAAACTCGGGGCCCACTCCGCTACGCCCCGACCCGAATTTGGAGGGCCTAATACGAGCGTCATCTTGTAGTGAACAGGCCGACTTCGTGGTTTGAGCGCCCAGCGCAGACCGACCGACCGCAGGGGGGGGTCCGGTCGACGGCCGCGGAAGACCGCAGACAGACCGGAGGGGGGGTCCGGTCGGTCGGAGCGCAGACCGATGGGGGGGGGGGGGGGGGTCGGTCAGGTTGGCTCGTGGGACACACCGCACACGCTCGCCGCAGCTGTGAATAAATTAGTCTCTCGAAATACTAGAGACACAAGCGCCCTCTCCCCCCGTGTAATCACTCCTCGTCCGGAGCGGCTGCGCTCTAGAGAAGCTCAGGGTTGGGTCGGAACACAAGCTCGTCAATGTCCCCGCCCACGTCGAGCCGATGTGCGATGAGCCCGGTGTGCGGTGAGGGCGGAGGCGATGTGTCTCGATCAGAGGCGCAGTCGGGATTTTATTCCCGAGCTCTGAGCGGCTCAGGGCGGCTAGTACACATGACCGACATGCTAGCATATACGTGGAATATTTATGTATGTAAAGAGTGAATGCAGAAGATCGGACAGGGGAGGGACGCGGCCAGAAAGAGGGCGGGCGCCGAGGTTCGAAAGCCGGCGCTTTCGCGCGTTCGAAGGGGCTTTGCACGGAGTTTGTGCGAAATTTGCGGTTGGCCTTCGCCCTGCGGCGAGATGGCACCGCAGGCGGCGTGCGTGCACGAGGGCGGCGGCGTCGAGCGCCGAGCAGCACACCACGAGCGCGAGCGGCAGCGCAGACAACGCGAGGCAGCGGGCGGCACGACCGAGCCGGCGGCGGAGGAGGCGATGGACGTCGAGGCGGTGAGCGCCGCGGACGTGCTGGCCGGCGTGGAGGAGAGCGGCCCGAACTACGCCCTTCCGACGGCGAGGGAGGGCCAGAGGGAGCGGCGGGAGCGGCTGCGGGTGGACGAGACGGCGAAGCAGGCGGGGCACACCATCGTGGAGACGGGAACGCACGTCGAGATCCTGGGCGAGCAGGGCTTGTGGTGGCCGGCCACCATCGCGGGGCGGGAGGAGGACGTGGACGGCCGGCTCGTGCACGAGGTCGAATACGACGGCCACCAGGGCGAGCAGTACTGGCACATGCTTGACGACGAGCAGTGGCGGCGCGCGACCGCGATGCCGACGCCAGCCGACGGCACGAATGTGGCGGCCTCCACCGAGGGCGAGGAGAGCGGCGGCGAGGAGAGCGGCGGCGAGGAGAGCGGCGGCGAGGAGGACGCGGTCGCCGCGGGGACGCGAGCGGGCGCGCATCGCCGCGCGACGGCCGTGCAGCATAGCGAACTGGCCGACCTGCTCGACGGGATGGACGACGAGCGGCAGGAGGAGGCCATGCGGGCGGACGATCAGCCTTTGCTGAGGCCGCACGGGCCGAGCCTGTCGCGGCAGCTGGTGTACGTGAGACGCCGGCTGCGCGACTTTCTCGCCCAGCAGGCGAAGAAGGGCAAGGACGTGGCCATGTCGCGGACCTCGCGCGGCACGCACCCGACCATTCGCTGGACGATCCGCTTCGGCCAGTGGCTGGCGACGACGCGCGTCCGGCCGTTGAGGGCAAGCCGCTGGCACCTTCCCGTCGGGAGTGTCGCGCGAGGGGAGGAGGCGATGGTGCGCACCGGACGCGGCGAGAAGTCTGTGGAGGCCGCCCTCAAACACATGAAGAACCACCTCTGGTGCGAGCTGTGGCCTGCGATGCCAGCGGCCGGCACGTCGGAGGCGAGGCAGTATACTGGAAGTCGGTGAGGGACCAGGTCATGTCCTTGTTCGAGGGCGGCGGCAGCGGGATGAAGATGCTGGCGGAGGAGGCAGGGAAGGCGGCGGGGCGAGCCGCGGCGGCCGAGAGCGCCGCGCGCGGGAAGAGCGCCCGCCAGCAGCGGCTGGCGAGCGCGCAGGCGAGCGCAGCGGCGAGCAAGCGGACGGTGGAGCAGCTGAGCGCGGCGACGACCCACCCGTGCGCGAAGCAGCACCTGTACCAGGTCGGCGAGTACCAGCTGCAGGACGCGTCGCTGGCGGAGCCGTTTGAAGCAAACGTGGCTCATGTCGTGTGTGCGTACTTGGGAACGGCGAAGGTCACGGGCTGCCGTCCCGGGATGGCGATGAATGACGCGAACGACCTGGCGGACGCCGACAGCCCCTGGCACGAGCTGCCGCCGCTGCAGATGGGCGACCTCTTCATCACCATGGACGAGGTCGCGGGGGAGGGCGAGGCGGGCGCAGTGCGGATGGAGGGCGATTTTGAGGCGCTGAGCCGGATGGAGGTGACGTTCAGGCGGAAGAAGGGCGAGTACTACGCGAAGTACGAGTTCGGCACCTCGCTCACGCCCGACTCGGACCAGATGATTCGCCTCGGCACGGTGGCGATGCTGCGGCTGCTTGTGCGATGCGGGAGCTTTCGGGCGTGTTATGCGCATCTGAGCCGCGCCGGCGCGGCGGCGCTGCGAAGGAAGGTGGCCGATCCGCGTGGCTTTGCGGGGCTCGAGATCGAGGACACGGGCTACGACAGCTTCCTGTCGCTGGTGAGGGCGTGTCGCGAGGACGGGTGGGTGCTGGACGAGGCGAAACTGAGGAACTGTCGAGCCGGTGTTGCGTTCTTTCTTCTTTTGGAATGAAGTCGACCGCAGGCTCACGCCGAAGTTGTTGGCAAACTTGCCCGGCGCCGTCACACCCTACCTAAGGAAGTGCCCACACGTGTGTGCCAAGGAAACGTCCAGCCATACACTTTAGGGGCCTAGAGAACAACACACACACACGCCCTCTCCCTTCTCTCCCATTTGACCGCGGCGCGACCGGCACTCGCGGCGTCGCCATCGCGCACCACCTCCCACGCATTCGCAGAAAAGTTCGACCCGTGAGTTCAAAAAAGAAAGCGAAAACTCCTCTTTTCCGCTGAGGGCAGAGAACAACACGACACCGACAGCCTCCAGCACGCTGGGCGCCCCTCTCCCCCCTGTCGCCGGCCGCCCCTCGATGCCTCCGTCCGAGAGCCTCCGCCACCCTCTTGTGCGCGGAGCCGGCACCGAGCCGTGGCTCGGTCGCAACGGCTTCGCGCCTCCCCGCCGCTGCCGCGACACCGGCGCGCTCGTGCCGCTGCTGCTCTGCTTCTCTGCGATGGCGGCCATCGCCGCCGTCGCCCTGCGCGAGGGAGACATCGGCCGGCTCGAGACGGCCATGTTGGCAAGGAATTTTTTTGCGCCTCGCGCCGACTGACCACCACCGCCCCGGCCCACTTGTCGACAATGCTCCGCATCGCCCGGCGCCGCGTGTGCACCGCGGGCGGCGGCGGCAGCGCCTCTGACCGCTTCTGGGCGTGGACGACGCAGCAGCGGCCGTCGTGGAGGGAGTCGCCGACCGAGGCTGCGGTCGCCTTCTGCGTGTTTGGCGTCACGGGCTCCACGAGCGTGGCGCTCGTGCGGCCCGCGCTCAAGCGGACCATCGGGCTCGAGGGCTCGATGCGCGAGGGGCCGTGGTCGTACCGCATCACCTCACTCGTCGCCGTGTCGCCCATCTATGCCACGCTGCTGGTCAGCTTTGGCACGGTCGCCGGCCGACATCGCTACTTTGCCTACATGGCGAACAAGATATTTGGCCGCTTCCTGCCCAATTTCGTGATGAAGCGCATCTCGGAGACGGCCGGCTGGTGTTTCCCTGGCTCGCGAATTGTCAAGTGACCAGTCAGAACTCGCGCATTTACCTACGCTCGCTCTCTGGAGCACGTCCAGGACCCAGGTCCCCGAGCCGCTCCACCACAGTGTTATGTGTTATGGGGTGCGGCCCGCCGGCTGCCAGTGTGCGTGTGGCGCGTCAATATTGAAACGTGGTTTATATTATCTCGCCTCACTCTAACGTCTAAGCTCGATCCTCTCTCCACAGGGGGGGGACCAGCGCACCAGCGGCCCCGGGCCCGCCTCCCAGAGGCCACGCGCGGATTGACTGAGCGCAAGATTAGAGTACTGTCGGAGAGAGTTCGCACGAGAGAGTCGTAAAACGAGAGGTACTTCACAGGGTACTTCGCGCCGACTCGCTCCCTCTGCGGCCTCTCTCGCGTCTCGGCTACGGCCTACACCCCGGTGTCGGCAGTCGGGTGTCTCTCTCCGCGAGACGGACACAGCGCGCGCGAGAACTGCCGAGTTGAACTGGAGCGACACCACAACGCGCCACAGTAATCAGTAATGAGTATCCCGTACCACGCAGCCGACCTGGGCCAGCAGCCAGCCCTGCACTGAGACTCGGTAGATCACTCCCTCAGCGTCTGGTCGTACCGCGCCAGCAGCTCCTCGCCCGCCGCGATGTCGGACAGCGCCTCGAGCCCGCAGCCGTACGCGGCGCCGCCTCCTCG